TTGGGCATGTGAGACAGGGCATCCTTTCTTTAATGAAGTGGACCGCCTGGCAAATCTTAAATTCTGTGACTCGATGCACTGAAACAGGGACGTCTAGAAGGAGAGTTTGCTGGGGGTGGACAGCGAGTGCCGAGATGAAATCAGCCCTGAGAGTAGAAATGTCCTGAAGGTGGACGAGGCTGCCATGTATAAGGCTGCTAGACTCTTGAGTCATTTGCCATGAAACCTAATGACTCTTCAGGCCAGTTTGCATGGCCCTAGCCCTGGCTGCCAGGGGCACAGAGGGAGCCAGAAGGGACCGATGAACACCGTGCATGCGTTTGTCCCCAGCCCCAGAAAGATTGGGCCAGACTCGGGAACACTCAGGAGGGCGTCTCAGACACCAATGGGTTAGAGGGCTTGACTCGCCATCTCAGGACAAGACAAGGTGGAGGAGAGGGAGGCAGTTACGCAGACCAGGGGCCTGCTGACCATGCAACCGTCCAGACCTTGGGGCTCCTCTTGGAGTTTGGATTCACCTTCTTCTTGTCCTGCCTGCCTCACCGGTCCGTTCTCCACTCAACTGCCCGAGTGATGTTCCCAACATGGTGTTGCACGTTGCGCGCACACACACATACACACGCGCGCACGCACTCACACGTTCAGCGAATTCCAGGGGCTCCCCATTGCCTCCAAGAGCAAATGCAGAGTGCTCTGCTTGGCATTCCAAGCCCATTGTGGCCTGGCCCCCTCCTCCGTTCCCGGGCTTCTTACATCTGGCTTTCTTCTGTCCAGCTGCACCGGCCTCCTGGCTGCTCCGTGAACCAGACCCTCCGTCTCTCAGTTCTGGGCGTTCCCTCTGGCCATCCCCCATGCCTCAAGGATCTTCCTCCTCTGCTCCTCCTCCTCCTGGTTCCTCTGACTCCCCCCAGGTCTCAGCTCAGATCCCACCTTCTGCAGGGTGACGTTTCCTGGTCACGTTGCTTGTGTCACTGACACAGCCTCCAAAAGCTGGCTTTGAGCGTTAATGGACATTGGGCCAGTTAGCCAGAGAAACATGGACTGACCTACCTTGAGGGCACACTTATTGTACGGCCCACAAACTCCCATGGACTTTTTCTCGTGGTTTCCCCACATTTGTTCAAATGCATAGAAGTGCGTTTGTCGCAAATAAGCGGGGACACTTTTCCAACTAAAAGATGTTGTCTGATCTCTCTTGGAATAGTCAAGGATTTTTGTGGGGTTGCCACCGGGCAATTATGCCCTGGAATGTCAGGATCGTGTTACTGCACCAGAGCTGAAGAAAGCCCTTCGACAGCCAAACTAAGCTGGTCATTTTCCTGCTGGGTTCCATCGTCGCTCAGATCCAACCCCACTTCCAGAGGGTACAGGGCATGCCAGCGAGCTGGGAGGGCTTCAGGGGAGGCCTTCTTTGGGCCTCAGGCCCCTGTCATGAAAAGGCTGTTGGTCCGTCCTGTGATGAAATGCCGTCATCTCTGTGGCAAAGTGGACATCCCTAAAAACGAAAACCCACAGGAGCCTGGTGACCTCTGTGTTTGCTGGCTTTTGGCTTCACGGCTGTATTCCTGAACCATGCTTAAAGTTGCATGTTAAAAATGTCGAATGAGTGAAGCCACCCCAAAGCCCTCCCCGATCCCTCAGGCTCTGGTGTCCTCCTTGTAGAGTCGATTTCTCAAGCTGGCACTGATGGGGCGTCATTCAGAGGAGTCTGGTGGGTTATTTTTAGCCGTCCAGCAGCAAATGCAAGTGTTCAATTGCCAGAGCTCCTAAGTGTTTGATTTGGAAATTCCCACTGAAGGAATTGGGCAGCCAAGAAACAGAGCTATCCCTCTGCAAATGCAATGACGGTGTACTTAGAGAGTCGAGTAAGAGGCTATTTGTGTGAAAAGCGCTGTGTGATGGCTCTTTCTATCTCTTCCTGCTGGATTTTGTTGGTAATATTAAAAAATGCTGATGATTGGGGCAGCTAGGTGGCTCAGTGGATAGAGTGCCGGCTCTGGATTCAGGAGGACCTGAGTTCAAATCCAGCCTCAGCCACATAACACTTACTAGCTGTGTGACCCTGGGCAAGTCACTTAACCCCCATTGCCCTACCGGAAAAAAAAATGCTGATGATTTATATGAGTTTATTTTATATCTTGCAACTTTGCTAAAGTTGTTAATTATTTCAAGTAAAGTCAGATCTCAAGAACTGAAAAAACATTTCGTTGCTCGTGGGTAGGCTGAGCCAATATAATAAAATTGCAATTCTACGTATTCAGTGCCATATCACTCAAACTACCAAAAATTATTTTTTAGAGCTAGAAAAAAAAAACAATTCATCTGGAAGAATGAAAGGTCCAAAATATCAAGGAAATCATTGAGAAAAAATGTAAAGGAAGCGGGCCGAGCCTTACCAGATCTCAAAACTGTATTATAAAGCAGCAATCGTTAAAACTACTTGCTGAACTGGCTAAGAAATAGCATTGGATCAGTGGAATAGATCAAGCACACAATACGTTGTAGCAAAGGGCCATACTAACTGAATGTTGATAAACCCAAAGATCCAAGCTTTGGGGATGAAAACTCATTATTTGACAAAAACTGCTGGGAAAACTGGAAAACAGTATGGCAGAAACAAGGTATAGACCAACATCTCACACCATGTACCAACATTAGGTCAAAATGAGTACATGATTTAGACGTAAAGGGTGATACCATAAGCAGATTAGGGGAGCATGGAATATTTTACCCATCAGATCTATGAAGAAGGAAAGAATTTAGGACCAAACAAGATAAAGCATTACAAAATGTAAAATGGATAATTTTGATTGTATACAATTTAAAAGTTTTTGCACAATACAACCAAAATTAGAAGAAAAGCAAAAAACTGGGGTAGAGGGGAAGTTTTATAAAAAGTATTTCTGATAAAGGCCTCTCAAATATATAGAGAACTGAGTCAAATTTGTAAGAATACAAATCATTTCCCATTTGATAAATGATCAGAAGATATAAACAGGCAGTTTATAGATGAAGAAATCAAAGCTATCTATAGTCATATGAAAAAACTGTTCTAGGGATGGCTGGGTAGTGCAGTGAATAGAGCACCGGTTCTGGAGTCAGGAGGACCCAAGTTTAAATCCGGCCTCAAACACTTGATTCTTACTAGCTGTGTGACCCTGAGCAAGTCACTTAACCCCAATAGCCTAGACCCTCCAAAAAAATGCTCTAAATCACTACTGAATAGAGAATGCAAATTAAAACAACCCTGAGTACCACATCACACCTATCTGATTGGCTAATATGACAGAAAAGGAAAATGATAAATGTTGGAGGCCATATGGGAAAACTGGAACACTAATGCATTGTTGGTGGAGTTGTGAATTCATCCAGCCATTCTGGAGAGCAATTTGGAACTCTGCCCAAAGGTCTATAAAACTGTGCATACGAGGTCTGTATCCCAAAGAGATTAAAATAAGGCAGGGGGGAGAAACTCTTTGTACAAAAATATTGATAGCAGCTCTTCTCGTGGTGGCCAAGAATTGGAAATTGAGGGGATGCCTATCCACTGGGGAATGACTGAACAAGCTGTAGTATATGATTGTGATGGAGTACTATTGTGCTGTAAGAAATGATGAACGGGATACTTTCAGAAAACCCCGGGAAGACTTGTATGGACTGATGCAGAGTGAAGTGAGCAGAACCAGGAGAAAGTTGTACACAGCAGTCCTGTAACAGTAACACAATCTTGTACAATGATCAATTGTGAATGACTTTCTGTTCTCAGCAATACAGTGATCCAAGAAAATTTCAAAGGTCTCATGATGAAAATGCTGTCTGCCTCCAGAAAGAGTTGGTGGCATCCTTACAGCCTGAAGCATTCTTTCTTTCTTTCTTTCTTTCTTTCTTTCTTTCTTTCTTTCTTTC